TGGGACGCTGGTGATAGCTATGTAGAGCTTTGGATTGCATGCATGTTTCTATCTCACTTTACATTTTACCAAGACACAAGCAATACAATCGGCTATACTTTAAGGAAGTGCCAGCTTCCTTCGACCGTCTTGTATTCACTACTGCGACCTACTACAGTGACGCTTAAGTTGTAGAACGAGGTTGATTGGTCGACAAATTCCGGAGCTTCAAAAATTCGATCCACTTCAAGGTTTGCACGTTGGACATGTGCCATTTGATCTGCAAAGATTTCATCGTCCGCTGGCCAAGACTTGATTCGGTTAGGATTGGCTAGAATCTCGGTCTCCTGCATATAAAAGTCGTTAAACTTATGCTGTAACTTCATTTTCTAGCTCATTCACACCTCATCTCTTGGACGCTTACGTAGCAGCCCTCATAGCCTCCTTGCAAGCTTGATTTGTCCCTTTAATGAAGAGCGGAGGTTCTGATTCTTTTCCTCCACTCGAGCTCTCTCCTTCAGCTGTCGCTCAGCAATCTCTTTCCATATTGATGGAGTGTTGTCAGTTTTTTTTAAGTTCTGCTCGGCACTCAGAGGCTGTGTGGTCTGTAGTGTCAGCATTTGCTCCTCTAAGCTAACCACGAGTTTGCGCAAGTGCTCGAGCTCTAACTTTTGTCGTCGGACCCGCTTCTTCTTGGGGTTGGATGGTGGCTTTACGCACAGGTCTCCGTCAGTCATGCTCGGCGGCAAAGCACAGTAGTCAATAGAGACCGATGGCTCCAGGCTCCACGCCCCATTTTCATCGAATTGACCACTGAAGTCGTCGGGATGACGCGGGTGGCTCATTGAGCAGTAGAGGTGATAAGCAATTCCGTTGTGACCAGAGGCTCAAAAGCACAGGTAAAGATTACGATGGATGCAAGGATGCGATGATTATCTCCTTTCGTCATCGTGGTTGACGGCCCACAAACAAACTATAAATACCGGTAATGTCAGTAATCCGGTGACGTCGATGTGGATTTTGTTGAGATTGTTGTGCAATAGGGTGCGGAAAATCGAGTGTACCGGTACAGTATTTGACGGATTTCTTTCGAGTGTCGGCGACAATTCGAGTAAAAATTTCCAATACTTTTGGATTTTCTACAATACCTATCAAATTAACTACAAACATGGGAACACCGGAAGCTCGCCGCAAAAAATTGCATATTATGCGACAGTGGGGACCCAGTGTCTGACAATGACGACCCATACTGCTCAATTATGCTATCAACTGGAATGTTGGGACCGAGCGACACCGTGCTCAACAAATGGTGCGTGCAGTAGCGTTGGCATGACGGCTAAGACAACAAGAGAAGATGGTGGCAATAATAGCAGTGGCATGCTTCAGATGCGCTGTACCGCACCATCTCGATGGTACGACCTCGACAGACTGGCCTTGAGTCGAAGCTGCATAGCGCAAAAGGTTGCGTCCTGAGAGCAGGGCGTGTTAGTTAAGAAGTTTTTCTGGCTCTCCAATCAATTTACTTATTCAATGTCACGAGTGGTTCTGGCGGCCACCGTCTTGGGCACGGTGAGTTCCGTTACCCTCCTCCGCACTTTTCGACGGCCGACCCAGATTCGTGTGGGCCACGCTTTCGATGAAGCCATGCAGGGCCACGACGGAGTCGCTGAGAAGTTGTGGGCCGGCCTCGGTCTCCGTGGGACAAGCG